TCTTGGTTGAATAGCCAGTTTCTATTAAGTACAAATAAAATAACTAGAGAGATAGACAAATAAATAATAAAAAGCCTTGACCAGGAAACATGGGCCAAAACACAACATCACTATAACTCCCTCCTTGGCCCAGGGTTCATGAAAAGGCACCCACCTCTCCTTACCCACATAATATATCCATTGATTCAGGGCACCCCAGTTGGGCTTAAAATGCAACCAGCCACCAGCAGCATCTTCATAATCAGACAGCCAGACATCCTGGGAGGCAGGGTGGTTGTAAGCAACCTGAAAGCAGCTCTGGGCTCACCTGTTGGTGTGTGTACAGATGAGCACCTTGGTGTGGGGCTGCTGGACAACCTCAAGGGCGGCCATGGCCAGTGTGTAGGTCTTGCCAGTGCCAAAGGGGCCATAGATGAGAAGTGGTGGAATGGGCTTTGTGCCCTCAGGTCTTCTGCCTGCGATGAGTCCTACAGCCAGCTTCTGTTTGTAATTGCCACGAAATGAGGGTGGGGTGGGCCAGGGGTCGGGTAGGGAGCAGGTGGGCAGATCGGGAACCACCAGGCGCTCTTCAGGCAGTGCATCTACCGCCTGGTGCCAGAACCGGAAGGTCAGAGGGTCAATCTGGAACTGCACCTCCAAAATGGGGCTGTCTTGTGGTTGCAGCCCCAAGGCAGTACAGCATCGGGCTGGTAAGAGCAGCCACAGCGCATTCTCTGAGTTGGCCCGTGTCTCTAGCCGTACTTGGTATACTGTATTGTCAGGTGCAGGCACAGGGGCCACAAGGGCTGTGCTGACTGCTCGGCCCAGCAGGAAGCCTTGGTCAGTGTCTGGCAATAGAGAAGAGGGGAAAGGGACCTCGGCATAGAGGGCTCCTGGTGGTGCAAAGAGCATGCCAAGTGCTGGTGTCTGCAGTGCCGTCTTCAGGGATACCTGACCCTTCATGGCCAGCCTAGTGGAAAGTTATAGTTCAGCTTTCTATGCCATAGTCAAAGACCCATCTCCAAGTCCAGACTTGGGTCACTCCTGCTAGCCCACTGCCTCCACTTACTTGGCTACCAGCTGCTGCTGAGCTGCTTCCTCCTCATAGAGAAACTTGTGCATCCTCTGCCGGTAGTTTGTACGAGAGATGGGGCCCCAGACCACACCACTGTGACTGAACTCCAGGGCCAGGGAGGGTACCTTGTACTTGGCCATCAGGGCTTCCTGCTCAGGTGTCCAATCCACCTCAAGCACCACACGACGGTTGCCTGTGTGCCAGCATTCCAGCTCCTGGGAGTGACTGGGCACTGGATTCCCATTGAGCCCTGGGCTATGTGACTGGCCCAGCTGCAACTTCAGCTTCTGGAGCAGCACTGGTCTGTGACCGAAGTCAAAGACCACCCATTGCTCAAAGCTGCCAAAGGAGGCAGCCTGTACACGTACCCCTACCTGGAATTGGGCTGGGGAGTTGGGCACACCAAAGTGCTTTCCCTGTGCATAGAGCTGGTCTGGTGGGAGACTGGGGGCCACCAGTGAGAAGGCTGCTCCAGGCTCTTGCTTGAGTAGAGCCACATGTAACAAGGGATCCTGGAGAAGGAGGTAGGCCATGAAGTGTCAAATGGGCCCTCAGACCCTTTCAGGGCCCATGGTGACTCCTTCAACCCTGACCACCCAACCCTCCTTCAAGCAGCTTGCCACTGAGTGTGGGACCCACAGATTGTTCAGTCTGCCCTGGTTTCCACCTCTGCTCACAGACCTTGCCTAAGGCTCAGAAGACATTTAAAGAGAGAGAGAGAGGGGAGAGAGAAAGAAAGAGAGAGAGAGAGAGATGAGCAGCTGGGATTTTTAGGGTCCTGTCATTACAAGTCACACTCACTTTCTGGGTGCCAGACACTGGCATACTTGTTTCTGATATTAATTAATATATTCCATTGAGTGATCCCATAGGGTGAGTGTGCCATGATCACCTATCATTGTGGGAGGAAACTGAGGCAGGGATAGGAGACTATTGGGTTTATTCTAGGTCACATAGATGCAGAAATAGAGCCACTGGCAGCATCAGCTCCAAATCACAGGCTTTCTGTATCTGCCCACCTGTAGTCCTTAACACCCTGAGAATCCCTCCACCCAAAGCAGGGTCTACCCATAAGATCTGAGGTCTCAGGGCTGTTGAACCCTTACCTCAGAGTGGATGGTGAACTTCCAGTTGTGCTGGGTCGTCTTCTCCTGGGCCTGATGCACCAGTGGCTGGTGGCAAGTGACAGATACTCCATTGACAGTCTCAGCCATCTGCACAGAGAAGCCTGCCTCTCAGCAGGGCAGGAAGCCCTGGACCCCTCCTCACATTCTCACCAGCCTCTACTTACCACCAACATCTCATTGCTGCTGCACCGGTACTCAGCTAGCAGCCGTGCCTGGTAAGATACCAGACCATCCTTCCAGGCAGCCTGTTCTCGCAGCTCCATGGCCTGTGCCCGCTGAACCCACTCCTGCAACTCCTCTTTTGAGTGTGCCTTGATGCAGACATCTCCGTACTCACAGAGGTCAGGCCTGGAGAGACGAGGAGGTCAGCAGGACCTCATGGAGGTACAGCCTCAGGAGCCAACCCTCTCAGCCCAACCGTGGCCTGAATTTTTGGAGCAGAAATGGATTCTAGGCTGGCGGGGGGGGTGTGGAGGTAGGAGGATAAGGGTTTCATTTGCTCTACACCCTAAATCTCCAGGGAAAGGCCTGGCATAAGGAACCTTCTTCAGAGGCCACTGCAGTACTAGACTGATGTGTAGGGCCCAGCAGATGATAGGCAGGTCTCAGGCCTGCTGGGTGCTGACCTGAGGTGTATGTTTGTATGAGTGGGTGGGTGAGGTTTCTTCTCCTACCCTAGGCCCCAACATAATTCCCCTTACCTAGGGCAGAGCTCAAATTTGGAGAGCCCCATTGGTGGGGCACGGTGATTCCAGGGCACAGCCTGGTCAAAGGCCACCATCTGTGCGTGCTCCAAGGAGGAACAGTGGTTCTCAAATGCCTCCTGAGAACTACAAGTGACCAAACAGGCATGGCAGTACAGTTGGACCACAGGGGGCTGACCCTGGCTGGCTTTCCATTTGTCCTCTCTGAGGAGAGGGTACATGAGCAAATCTCCTCTCTGGAGCCCATCCAGCTGCTCAGCCTTCCATACAGCCATCTCCACGGCACTGTGTGCATACTCACAGCGTGAGGGCCCGTGGCGGCACGGTACCCCACGGCCCACAAACCTGCAGTAGTTTAAAGGATGTCTGTTTTGTGGCTGTGGCCGCACTTCCACAAACTGCCGCTTTCGGCCCTCAGTTATAACATGGATGAGGAGTGTAGGGCAGCTTTGGTGCCTAGGGCAATGGCTCCTGGGGTCCACAGGTCGGAGGCATGGGGGACGGCACTTGAAGCAAAGGGCACAGAGCAGTTGGAAATGGCCACCAAACTCTGCTCGGATGGTGTCAGCTGGAGTTTGTGGCCTATCCAGGGCTCTGGTGCCCTGAACAGCAGCTTTCAGATTCAGGCGTGGAAGGTTGTGCTTGCGCTCAAATGTCCAGACCAGCGCCTCCTCAGAGCTGCTGGCAAAGGTGCATCTGTTTCGGTGGCGCCTACAGCCCAACCCTGGGCTGTAGTAGCGACAGACTTCATAGCGGCTAGGTCTTGGGAAGCTGGGCCGGCGGCCTACCTTACGCCAGACCTTGCCCCTAGCACCTTGCTTATAGCGGACCAGCAAGATGTCCCTGGGGCAGTCGTGCTCCACCTCACACAGGATGTAGGTGCTCTCATTCAGGTGCTGGGTGCAGTGGGGACATCCCAGGCGAAGGTCTACCTGAGCATAGAGTTCTGCCAAGAGTGTCTCTGAGATGGCTGTTGTGCTGGCAGACTGCAGACTGCGCCCCAAAGATGCCATCTCAGGTGAAGGCCGGGTTCTCCGGTGCTGTGGGTAAGGCTCCTCAGCAGCTCATCTATTGAAACCGGCAGCCCTGAAGAGATGATAGCAAGAGAAGCAAGTCAACCCCAGGTCAAGAAGAGTCTATACAGACTCTGCCAGGTGAAGGAAGGACAGGAACTTCTGTCCAACCTTGTTCCACCTGAACCTCTCTACCTGAAAGGCCTCCAAGTGCTGTCCACCAAGGACTCAAGCAGCATATAGTAGAAGGGGGCTGGGAGGTCAAAGGATCCTCCATGTGGTACCTCTGGGGCTGCTTCACCCCTCAAGTCATATCTCCTGGCTGTCTTTAAAAGAGTACCACCTTTCTTGGGAGCTGTTAGTCAGCTCCTGGGACTACCGTCACCTACCAGACTAACAGGAGCCTCAGGGGGAGAGGGCATAGCTTTGCAGAAGTCTTGCTCTACTCGGGTTGGATAGTCCTTATCAGAATTCTCAGAGATGCCAGGAGAAGTAATGTCCAGAGCCCAAGAGTTCGAGGTAGTGGCACCCCAGCAGGCGTAGGAGAGGGAACAGCTAGCCCCCTGCAAACACCTGGGTCAGGTCTAAGGGGAATTTTCCTTTTTTTTTTTTTTCTTTTCTTTTCAGTGTTGAGGATGAAACCCAGATTTCTTGCACACGCCAGGCAAACACTGACCTACACCCTAGCACTCTAAAGAGAACTTTCAAGGAAAAGGTTGAGCTACAAAGATTGTGTTTTAAAATGAAAGAAGGAGCATCAGGCAAAGCCTGTGCCCCCTGCACTCCTGTGGAGGTTTCTAAATCGTCAGAGTTAGAACCCCATACCCCCCGCAGCTGGAGAAGCAGGAGGAGAGAGCCATGGGGGTTGTCTGTCTGGGGCAGCTGGTCCTGCCCATTCGTAGGCAAGGGGATGGCCCCCACACCTTTCCCGGTGGTCCCTCCAGTCCCCAGCCACCACCCCATACTTACCCAGTACACCAGCATCGACTTGGAGCAGCGATCACTTTCGATTCTGCCCCTGGGGCGACTCAGACCTCTGACGACAGAGCACGGAAATTACCTCACTGCCCCCCCTGCCCCGCCCCCGCCCCGCCCCCCAGCCATAGCCTCCCTCCCAGACCTGGCGGAGCTCCCTGGACCTGGTAAGATTCCCCCCACACACACACTCCCCACCCCCACAGTTTCCCTAGGGTCAACACTACAGAATTTGACCTGGCCCTTTCCTTTCCCTCCCCCCACTCACAGCTGGATATCTGTAGCCTCTTGTGTTGGCGAGGGTGAGGTAAGCCCCTGGGGGGATGGCTTTAGGGTCAAAAGATGCTCCGAACAGGAGTGGGAGGGCCCTTGCCTATAGAGCTGTGACAAACTTAATTCTGTGTGCTATAGCCCAGGGCTATGGTCCCTGGGAGCAGTGCCAGACAGGTCAGAAACTGAGAACTTTGTGCTGGGGCAGGACCTGTTCCTAGAAGGCACTAGGCTTCTCGCTAGGGGCTCTAATGATTATAGTCAACCCCTTAAGATACAGAAATGTTGTGATTGTGCCAGAACTCAGAATTAGAAAACTTCTGGCCCCAAACCAAAGACCAGGATGGGTTGGGTGCAAGGAGCTCTCATTTGTGTTGCCTGAGGACCTGAGCTCTGTGGGGAGGTGCCGCCACCAGTCTCTCAAGGCACTCTGGTCTCCACCCTAAAGGTCGGGTAGCCACTGAGCTAGGACGCTGAGGCACAGTGGTTTGTGTCATTTACAATATGGGTGGAAGAGGAGAAATACTGAATGATAGCTCCTCCTCTGTGAGGGGTGGGGTCTGTGGGGGAGGGGCTGAAGCTGCTAAACTTGCCCCTCCTCCCCCTGGCCCTGCTCTGCCCCGCACACAACTGTGAAGTTGTGTTAAGGCACAGATGTGTTAGAAGTAAGTTCGGGGCTGGGTGTGGTGGCACACGCCTTTGAACAGCACACTCAGATCCCTGAGTTCCAGAGTTTCAGGACAGCTAGGACTACACAGAGAGACCTGTCTCCAAAAACCGAGAAAGAAAAAGAAGTGTCTAAACAAGGCAAAACTTTGCTCTTGATCAAGAAGAGGAAATACACAGTGACAGGAAACACACTTGCTTTTTATTCTAATTCAGGTGGTGACTGTGTCTTTTCTCCATTGGCTGGGGGTCTGAGATCAGTCTTAATTCAATTGGCTAGTCTGAAAAGAACTGGGGTAAGGGGCTGTTACTGCTCCAGGCCATCAACTCCTGGAATGCAGCTTTTATGTAAACAAAAGTTTAACTAGGTAGGGGAATTAAAACATTTGCAATAAAGTCTTACAAAGTAGGGAGGATGAAACGATTTTAATTCCTTTCATAGTATTTGATAGAAAAGATTCATATTTAATATTTCTTACAGATGGACAAGCAGATCTCTGGTTCAGGGTCCACAAACTGATCAGAACATGCATGCAGGAGTCTAACATGTGGTGTAAAGCAGCATCCAGATTCTGAAAAAGATGGCTGGCTCTTGTTATCATCCAGAAACAGGATGACAGAACAGGACTGGCCTCTATCAATATCTTACAGCAGGTGGTTCAAAGATTTTAACAGACAAAATCACAACCTAAAAGAACCTCAGGGTGAATATGTTCACAGGCAGTAATCTTTTTTTTAATTTTTTTTTTTTGGAGGGGGGCTTCAAAAAACAGACTTTCTCTGTGAAACAATCCTGGCTGTTCAGGAACTCTTCAGACCAGGCTGGCCTTGAACTCACAAAGATCCACCTACCTCTGCTAGGACTAAAGGCATGCACCACCACCGATGGACCAGTTAGTAAACTTATCCTTGTAGTGAGACAAGTGTCATCACTCACCCCTACCTGAGCAGACATGTTAAAGCTGGTTTCTCCCAACTTCTGTTGAGAGACTCAGTCAATGGCTTGAAAGGCCAACAAGGTCACAATGAAATTCTTTTCCTTTTCTGAGAACCAATTGTTAAACATCTACCAGCACACCATTGATAAAATTCATCACACAAAACTGTTTTTTGTTTTTTTGGGTTTTTTGTTTGTTTGTTTGTTTTGTTTTGTTTTTGTTTTTCGAGACAGGGTTTCCCTGTGGCTTTGGAGCCTATCCTGGTACTTGCTCTGTAGACCAGGCTGGCCTCAAACTCACAGAGATCCGCCTGCCTCTGCCTCCAAGTGCTGGGATTAAAGACGTGTGCCACCACCACCCGGCTTATCACACAAAACTGAAACAATTTTGTATAGGAGAAGGTTCCTCACTATCAATAAAACAAAAGCCAAACAAACAGAAAAAGAAATATTGTAAATATTATCACAGGTAAAAGTCTAGTTTCTTTAATAGAGAATATTTTAAACTATAAATATTATAAATTCAGAAGAAACTCACAACCTATAAGGAAAAATAGGCAGAATGTATGAACCAATATTTGCTATACAAACAAAACAGGAAATAGAAATTGTTCCAAATATAGAGAAAATGTTCACCTTCATGTGAGGAAGACACAGACCAGAACCTCCTGATTGAGTCTCCATTCTGGATCAGCAAGACCACACTAAGCCCAGGTCCACCCGGGTTCCAGAAGGAAAACAACTAGGAAGGCACATCTAGAATTACAGGGCACCATACCAAGGAATAGTAACAGAGACAGTTGTGGATGGGCTTACTCATGACAGCCTTTCTGTCAATCACCACAGTTCCAGGTCCCCAGACACAGCACTACAGTAGTTCCACCTCTCATGCAGGGAATACTGACAGTCATTGAAAAGGAGTCTCTCAGTTCTAGACACTTTACTAAAGCAGAAAAAGTATTCGGCAATGCATTTTTTTTTTACTATAAAAATACACACACACATACACACACACCTCACAGCAATCTGTCCTAGAAATTGGAAGTAGGCTGTAGCCAGTGTGGGACTTACTGTTCTCAGTCTTTGCACCTTTGCTTTTGGGACCGTATAATGTACCGCCTCTAGGATATCTTGATCAGGTACCGAATACACACCAGGAACCCAGTTCTCTGGCCTCTTCAAGGTGTACTAGAGCCAGAAAATCTTCCAGACTGTTCCCAGGCCAACCACACTTGGCCTCAAAGCCTAGACTCCCGGGACTAGGCACTAAGATCCAAGGGCCTCCTTAGCTCTTCTTCTTGAGTGTCTCACAGGTACCTAGCCCAAACTCTTCTTATTTCCCTAGCAGCCTTCCCAACATAGCCAAGGTTAGCCATTCTCTCGGGGACGTAAAGATAGGTCCTGAATATCCCATTTCATCCATATCCCAACACAGCAATGGCTGTTACATACCACTGATCTTACTCATCCCAGCTGTAATTCCTCCGTGGCCTCCTTATTTCTCATTCCTGTGATGATCACAGCTCAGTTTCTCAAAGCGCTCACTTCCAGGGAAGGTCCTCAGAAAGCCACTACAGGCGACTGCCTGAGTGCCTCTTAAACAGAGCAGTCAGGGTGTACATCACTAGAGGCAGACAAATGGGTGTCACAAATCCTGTGATAAGGGACTGGGAAGACGCCCGGGCGGTGGTGGCACACGCCTTTAATCCCAGCATTTGGGAGGCAGAGGCAGGCTGATCTCTGTGAGTTCCAGACCAGCCTGGTCTAGAAGAGCTAGTTCCAGGACAGCCTCCAAAGCCACAGAGAAACCCTGTCTCGAAAAAAAAAGGGACTGGGAAGACACAACCCCCTGTTTCATGACAAAAATTGAGCTTGCTTCATCACAATGAGCCTCATACAGACTCCTGAGAGGTGTTCAGTGACCACCTGTTCACTTCAGAGAAGTCCTCAGGGGTCAGGCCAGACTGAAGAGGCCAAGGAGGCACAAGAACTGGTATGACTGAAATCTAGTATTGGACTAAGAAAAAAAATGCATATACAAAATTAGATCATTAATGCAATTTTAGAACAAGTTATAAATGCATATATATGCTAATAGTATGTCTTAATTACTTCCCTATTGCTATTGCTGTGATTAAAAACACCATGACCAAAGCAACTTACAAGAGTTTAACTTAGCTTACCATTTCAGAGGGTTAGAGTCCATGATGGTGGCATGAAGAAACAGCTGAGAGATTGTATCTTGATCACAATCACAAGGCAGAGAGGGCACTGGGAATCTCTTAAAATCTCAAAGCCCACCGTCCAGTGACACACTCCTCCAACAAAGCTACATCCCCTAGTCCTTCCTAAACAGTTCCACCAAGTGAAGAGCACTGAGAAAAAAGGTAAATCACCTTGGTGGTCTGAGTGAGAATGATTCATAGGCCCATCAATTTGAACCGGAGGAACCATTTGGAAAGGATTGGGAAGTGTGGTCTCATTGGAGGTGTGTCACTGGGGTTGGGCTTTGATGTTTCAAAAGCCCATGGCATTCCCCATTAGCTCTCTCCACAACCTACTTGTGGATGAAGATGTAAGCTCTCAGCTACTGCTCCAGCACCAGGCCTGCCTGGCTGGTGCCATATTCTCTACCATTCCAGGTCATGGACTCTATCTCTCTGCAACCATGAGAACTAAATTGGATGTTTTCTTTTATAAGTTGCCTTGGCTATGGTGTTTTGTCCCAGCAACAGAAAAGTAACTAAAGCAGCAGCAGCAGCGGCGGCCACTGACTTAGAAAGAATACTCATGCCTGATGTACTGCAAACAGATTTCTCCCCTGACCAATCCCCCATTTTTTTCTTCCAGTGCTGGTGATGAAGTAGGAACTTGTGCATAGTAGACAAGTACTCTACCAATGAGTTATATTTCCAACCCACAATGTTTTTAAATCTTCAAACTCCAAAGTATAAGTGCAGTTTTCGTTGTTTATTTGGTTGGTTGGTTAGTTTGAGAGAACATCTCACTGTGTAGCACTGGCTTGGAACATATTGAGAACCACCTGCTTCTGCCTCCCAAGTGCTAGGATTAAAGGTGTGTACCACCATGCCCACCAAAAGTAAAAAAGAAAAACTGCTGTGAAAAATACTGTTAAAAGAATGAGAAGACAAGCCATAATCTGGGAGAGATACTTGAAAAAAAAAAAATCTGGGGGTTGGAGAGATGGCTCAGAGGTTAAGAGCACACTGGCTGCTCTTTCAGAGGACCTGAGTTCAATTCCCAGCCAACCACCCAACCACATGGTGGCTCACAACCGCCTATAATGGGATTTGATGCCCTTTTCTAGCTTGCTACATGCCAGAACACTGTATACATAATAAATAGAAAGCAGGAAAGAAAAAGCATCTGATGAGAAGGTCCAATAAAAGGCTAATATCTACCCCTACTGTCAGTCTCAGCATGTGTGAGACCCTGAGTTTGACTCCCTTACACTGCTGGGGGAAAAAAAAAGAAAAGAAATAGAACAGAAGTCATAATTAACAAAGTGGACCTAGTTAAAAATGGGCAAAAGAAGAGCTGGAGAGATGACTCAGTGGGTAAGAGCATGGGCTGCTCTTCCAGAAGATCCAGGTTTAATGCCCAGCACCCACATAGCAGCTACCAACTTGTCTGTGACTCTGTGGGCACCTGACATGCTAGTAAAAGTGCTCATAGGTATAAATGCTCACAAATTAAAAATAAAAATAAGTCTTTTAAAAATTGGGGGAAGACCTGACACTTCTGAAGAGGATGTATAGGCACATAAAAAGGGCTTTTAAGGACAGGAGAAATGGCTCAGCAATTAAGAGCACTTCCTGATTTTGCAAAGGACACGAGTTTAGTTCACAGCACCCACATGGCAACTCATAAAGGTCTCTCTCTCTCTCTCTTTTTTTTTTTTTTTTTTTTTTTTTTTGTTTTCAGAGACAAGGTTTCCCTGTATAGCCTTCACTGTCCTAGATCTCACTCTGTAAACCAGATTGGCCTCAAACTCATAGAGATCTGTCTGCCTCTGCCCCCTGAGTGCTGGGATTAAAGGCGTAAACCACCACCGCCCTCCTTCACACTCATTTTTGTTATCTCCAGTTCAGGGGATCTGTCTTGTGAACCTCAGACACCAGGCAGGGAGATGCTGCACATGCATACATGTAGGTAAAACGCTCACACACATTAAAATAAAAGCAAATCTTTTTAAAAAGATGTTCTATATCATATGCCATTATGATGCAACTACAAATCAAAATTGCAACAACAAGGAAGGGCAGTGAGGTGGCTCAGTCTGTAAAAGCACTTGCTATACAAGCCTGATAACCTGAGTTCTATTTCTGGAATCCATGCAAAGTTGGAGAGAACTAACTCCACAAAGTTGTCTTCTGTCCTCCATATGCACATAGTACATACATCCCCACATAATCTTATATATAGTGAGTGATATAATAACTTTTAATAGGGAAGTTATGTGTGGTGGTACGTTGTCTGTAATCCCACAGGGGAGAGAGGCAGGAGGATTACAAATCTGAAGCTATCTTGGGCTACCAGTCATAACATCTCAAAACAAACAAAAATGCAACAGTGAGATACAACCATATACTTGTCACAATGCCGAAGTCCAAAATGCTAAGTATACTACACAGAGTGAGAATGTGGGTCAACAGGAACACTCATCGCTGATAGAAACGCAAAGCAATACAGCAGCACTAGAAGACACTGGCAATTTTTCATAAAAGTAAAACACTATTTCCATGTGATCTAGCAATGGTTATTTACTCAAAAGAACTGAAAAAGAAAATTGTCCTCCTCAAGTAGGTGAATGGGCACACTGCAGTCTGCCCTGATATGGTGTTATCCATCAGCCCCAACCTCTATGGACTAATGCTTCAGAACACTGAGTGGGTAGACTGCTCCTCTGCTCCCTGCTCTTCTCTCTTGCATCCTCATCCGTTGAGTAGCCAGTGCTAGAACCCATTTCTAGGGACTTCTTCTCAGTGGGGGCATAAGAGGTTAACCTTTCTGAGCTAGTGGGTTTGTATTCTGCAGGCCGTAACTGCCACAAGTGTCAGGAATAGGTGTCAAAAGGGCTGATGAGGGTATATATATGCCCCTTGTCCAGGGGCAGAAATGGGTTCTTTGGTAATGTCAGGGGCAGAGTGACTATAGAGAATAGCAGTAAAGAACAAATGTGAACTCTTTTGATCTGAGAGGTGGAAGGGTATGGTTTAGTGAGGAGGGGATTCCTGAGGTGAGAGTGCAGAAAGGTGGCCTAAGCAACGTGTGACTGATGATATCCTTCCTAGAGACAAAGGACAACGGGAACTGTTTCAGGAGAGGAATTAAGAATTCTGTCTTGGACCCATTAAATCTGAGGTGCCTACAGATTTTCTGGGGGACTGTAGGTGGGCTGGAAACAGGAGGTCTATGAAGTGCAATGATAGGCAGTGTCCATGGCCTTCTATTGGTTCTATTGCAGTGGCACGTGCTCATGGAAGAACACTGAATCAGAGCAAGTCTTCAGATGCTAAGTAAACATTTGTTTAGTCCCCCCCCAACTAGGAAGTCATACATCCATCAACATCCACCCTGAGGAAGTCTGTGCCTCATCCAATTCTCATTAAGCGACATGATATGGTATCTGCCTCTCTGCTCTGTGGCATGTAGGAGGCATACCTGTGGTCTCCTAGGGACCACAGTACCAAAGAGGGTAGCGGTGCTGAAGAAAGATCTTGAACGAGCTGAGCAAAGGAAGAATGTGGCTAGTTTGACAGCAAAGGCCTCCCCCTACCCTTTAGAGAAGGTGCTTGGAGCTCCAGCTTTGGGTCAAGGTGAAGAAGAGTTAACTCTAGCTTTATCCTCACCCTGTTCCATGTTCCTTACAGCTCTACAGTGCCTGCCTTGACTTACAAGTAGTGAATCTCTGTTTCTGAGCCACCCAGTCTGCAAAGCCTGATGCAACAGAAAGGCACACAGAAAGATGCCTAGCACCTACACTACACTTGCACCCTGAGCTGAACTCAGAAGCCGAATGGTACCTAGTGTAGTTATTAAAAGTGTTTGAAGGCCAGGTGGTGGTGGCCCACACCTTTAATCCCAGCACTCGGGAGGCAGAGGCAGGCAGATCTCTGTGTGTTCGAGACCAGCCTGGTCTACAAGAGCTAGTTCCAGGACAGCCTCCAAAGCCAGAGTGTAGTGGTGCGTACATTTAATCCCAGTAAAGGCAGGTGGAATCCCTGTGAGTTCCACAACAGACAGGGCTATGTAGAGACCCTGTCTCAAACAAACAAAACCAAAAAATCCATCACCAACAAAAACAACAACAAAAAGTAACAATCAAACAAACAAAAAAACTGTTTGACCTCAGGACACTAAGAAGGCTCCTTGGTCCTAACCCCTACAACAGTTGGACTCAGTGGACAAATGTGTTTGAAGAACCTGAAACAAGCTAGCACTGTTACAAGGGGCATGTTTTTACAAGTTAAATATGGTTTCTCCCATAGCTTCCATCACAAGAGACAAACACACAAATTACAAAAGTGTTTTTTATTTTAAATCAAAGTACCAAGCAGATACTTACTTAACAACATACAAAGTAGAACTCAAAGAACTCAAACTTGCCCTTCCTTGCATGCCTCCTGGGCAGGCATGGAAAGGAGCTTGCACCCTCTGCAAAACCAAATCCTGTCCTATTTCCTCAGAAAACCAAACTGAAAGCAGCCACAAGCACCCATGTTTGCATGTAGAGGGGAAGACCTTCCTTCCTGGATTCTGAATGGCCCATTCGGCAGGGAACACAGCAATAGAAGAGTCAGTAGGAACCACAAGAGGCGGGTACAAACAAGTGGTGGGGCAAATGATCACACTTCCTCCCCCAGAGCTACAGGTTCCACACAGATGGGACTATTGGGCCTTCTCTGTCCTGCAGAACCCTCCCTAGCCTGCCAGGAACAGCCTTGGAGGGTGGGCTATGGACAGCCTCTGGGGACACTGGGAATGAGTGGTGTGAACTAATTCTGAAGCTGATTTGGGGATTATTTTTGTATGGCTCTGAAATGAACTTCACCTTCCAGTACCTCCATGCTCTAAGGGGCAAGGGCTAAAAAGGTTTCAACCTTGCTCTTATGAAGAAAGGAAACTGGCTCACATCCCAAAAAGCAGATGGCACCTGGGACTTGTGCCAAGGAAAGGCTCTTGGTTCCCCAGGTAGGAAGATTTTATTTGTGACACTAATCTAGTCTGAGCTTGTAGAGCAGGGACTTCTGGGTAGTACCCACCCTGCTGGTTCTCCCAATGTCCCTAGAGTCACACAGCTGCACATAACAGGACTTGTAACTCAAGGGAAAAGAGTTCTCAAAAAAGGAGTATATACATAAACAGGTAAACATCTGCCAGAACCAGCTGATTCATGACCACAGTGAACAATGATGTAACAGAAGAAAAACAAGAGTGAGAACCTCAGTAGCTTGACATGGGGTGACAGGGGCAGACAAGGCCCCAGTCACAGCAAGGGTGTAAAAGCATCTGGGCACTCAAGGTGGGGTGGATGGACAAAAAGTTAGCCAGTTCCCTTCAAAGCAGAGAAATGGGACAGTGGCCCCTTCCTGCTGTGGGACCCTTGAAGACAAAGCCTTCAGTTGACAGAACAGGAGGTTCAAGAGGCACCTTAGGACTATCCCAGGACATACCTTACCAAGAGGCCAAAACTCTGTTCCCTGAATTGTTTGACTCCAAGGACTCTGGCCTAGAGGACAGCCCCTTGCATGGGCCCAACCAGACCTGTAAAAACTGCCTGCAGACAGCCTTCCATGGAATATTTTGGATCCTATCTCCCAGCTGTCTGATCCACCAACTCTAAACAGCCTTCTCACATAGCCTAGGGCTCTCAGGATAGAGACAATGAGTATTGAACAGAGAGGCCCTGCTCTATCTCCAGGGAAAATTTAGGGGGGCTACTATAGGGGGCTATAAGAGCAGGTTGCACATAGGAGTCATTTGAGCTACCCCAAGTCACAGGCATACCCCCATACAAATCCTCCAGAGCTTTGTCTCAGGGAAAGACACTACCTAAGACCTCTAGCACCTGGCTAGGTGTATGTATAGGTGCTCTGGGTCCCTCCCAGAACTGACTCAGGAGTCTAGGCACTCAGCATTGTTTTGGTTGAAAACACTATTAATTTTTCCTAGAAGCCTACTAAGCAATTAACACCTGCAGCCCATGTGCAAAGGGGTCTAGAACACACCAGGTCCATGAGACCCCTTCACCACCTGAGTGCCTTTGTGGTGGGAGGGGTCCTGACTGGGGTCTGCACTCAGCCCCAGGGCATGTTCCCACAGTGAAGGAACATGGACACTGGCCATACTGAACCTACAGAGAACTGTGGGAAGAGACCAAATCCATAGGATCTATGGCTTCCACACTCAGGCATGCTGCCCAAGACATGTGTCAATAATGTCCCAGAAAGCTCAGCCCCATTGGGGTGCAGGCACTAGGACGTGTGATCAGCTGGGCTCTGGTGCTGGCTCTGCAAGCTGTACCAGAAGCACCCAGGCCTCCTCCTCGTCACTGACCCCTGGTTCCTGCTCAAGGCCCAATGTGTAAACAGGATTAATAAGCAACAGATGGAAAAGAGTATTTCCCACGAAAAAAGGGGAGGAAGTTTAGAAGTTGAAGACTGATGTTCCAGGTTGCTGGCATCATTCTGCCCCTTTTTTCTTCTCTTGATTCATCCGGCAATCCTCTCTTTGGTTCAGCCCATCAGACCTGCCTGTGCTGAGCCAGCCCTGCGGCCTGTGTCTGTAATGGCCTCTGCCTGCAGTGGCCTGAGGAGAGGCAGCCAGCCCAACTTGGAAGGATCTTACCCTCCCTGCCAGCTACTTCTGCTCATGGTCATCTGCTACGGCAGCCACCTCAATAGTGGCTGTGTGTTCCTCAGGTCCAGAAGCAGCTGCTGTGGGTACTGTCATGATGGTGCTGCCCGCAGGTGATGCCTGGGCCACATTCTGCAGGGTGGGTCCCAGACCAGGCAGAGTAAGCAGCTGCAGTGGACTGACCACCTTTAGTACTGTACTGCCATCCTGCATGGCAGCTGTGCTCAAAACTGTGAGGCTGGATGTGTCCGGATGGATCTCTACCGTGCTGGGGAAGGTAGAGCCAGAGGAGGCCAGGACTGTGTATCCCCCAAGCAGCGGGGAGGCTGGTGAACTGGCTGGGGCAGCTTGAGGAGAACCCTTACCCAGGACAGTGGAAGGCAGTGTAGATACCACTTTGCTAAGTGGCATACTGGTCAGCTGGGACACAGGCATTCCTGGGCCAAGGGCAATCTGTGCAGACTGTGTAAGCACCTGGGAAGCCATAGCAGCTGGTCCAGATGTAGCTCGTGCAAGACGGGGCCGCTTCATAGGGGATGGCAGGGAGACTGGTGTCAACGTCATGAGCACATTGCTGAGGTGCTGGGACTTGTGCTTCAGCTCCTTGGCACGGCGACGGTGCTCATCACACTGTTGTTCCAGGGCTGCAGGGGACACACAGCATCACCACAGAGAACAGATTGGGACAGATGGTGTTCCCACAAGGACAATGCAGGTATGCATAATCAGTGAGCAGATCATAAACCAACAGCAACCCAAATGACTAGAGGACTGCTTACGAAAGGAAAGGTTGGTAGCAATTGGTCCCTTAATGGCCCTCAGGATGGCCCAAGACCACAGTTCCAAAGTATTAGTTCTACAGGCCAAACCTTCCCCTCAGCATCAAAGTACCAGGGAAAACATATTACTAATATACAAATACCATAGGACAATCCAGCTCTGGCTGGTGCAGGTGGTTTTTTCCATTCCCCTGTCATATTCCTTTAAATTAAATAATGTGGTTCATTACAGAAAGGTCAGTAAAGAATGACTTATGCTTTCCATACAGTAGGCCACAGCCACTGGAGTTTTACTGACTTTTCCATGTATGATGCCTGTGTTCTACTGACTTCTTGGTCTTCAAATGAAAAGTTCATCTATGTGGCTGTGTCTCTAAAGTGTGTGAACACATGACTATCCCCAAACACACTGCTGCTGGGCATACCTGCCAGGTCCCGGGCATACTGTTCTCGAGAGCGGTCCATCTGGCACTTATGGCTGGCCAGCACCTTCTTCACCAGATCCAGCATGCCAAAGTTTTGCACAATGTTGTTGAGCAGGACAGCATCTTAAAGAGATAATGCCAACACTTAGTAAAAATCTGGGCCCCTCCTAGAGTTCCTGAACTCCACTGCTGAGCTGGCTCCTGAGGAACCAACCACAGAAGTCTAGGATGCATACCAAAAGATAGCTCCCCTCAGCACAGTAGGGTCCTGTGTTCAGGTTCAACTTCCATCCCAGCTACATGGCAAGACCTGGGAGTAGAGAATCAGGGAGAGTCGGGCCCCCTCACCTCGGAGCTGCAGGGGTGGGTCCTGCACTCGCTGCTGCAGACCTTTCATGGTTTCCTCCAGCTCCTGTTGGAATTCCTGTATGACCTCATCCAGTAAGCCCGCATCCTTCAGTCCCCGCCAGAATGCAAATGTGTCATCTACGATGGAAAAAGAGAGTCAGGTAGGCAGTAGGCAAATCGATGTATGGAGCAACTGGCAGCAGGAAGTAGTAAAGGACATCACCTTAGGAGGCCAGCACATGAAGCACTGAGTTCCATATTCCTGCCCATAAGTCTAGTGGGTCAGTGATCAGATCCTGAACCCAGTCAGGATCAGATCACTGGTAGATAGGTCCTGTCGTGAGCCCACCTGTATTCCCAAGAAGCTGAGGGAATATACCTCCAATGGCTGTGGTCCAGTCACCAGGGTCCTCACAGGTCTCTATGGTGATGGTAGCAGGTGAACCATTCACTGCAGGTAAGGCAGAGCTACATGTGAGTATTGCTCTACATTATAGCACCGAGAACTTTAAGCCCTGATGATCCTTCCAAGGCTATATCTGAATCCTTCTTTTCCACCCATTTTCAGAGGGCTGAGAAGCATACTACACTAACACTAGTCAAAGTACTTCTCTGGTTCATAGTGAGCTTATTTTTAATCACAGATGTCTTCAAACATATAAAGAAAGAACAGAAAAAAACAGCCTCTGAGCCATCATCCAACTTGAGCAACTCCCAACATTTCGCTCCTCTGGTTCTGTGTACAAGCCCCTGTGACTAAGCCTTGGGAAACTGGCAGGGGAACTCTCTGCCTACCTTGTTTCCCTTTACTTGCCCTATAGGTCACCTTTACCTTTACCTCTTGTCTAAGTTTTACTGATACTATAGTAATCCTAGACTCATCATAGTTCCAATTTTTTAATATTAAAAAAGACAAACCATCCACTCTAGTATATCCCCAAATTCATTTCTGGCACCTACAAACCCAACTGTCCACATAGTTTGCACTTGGAAGTCTTAGAGTTTCTGACCATGGATTCATGCACACTACTACATGAGTAGCTCAGAAACAGATTCAGAAGCAGGCATGTATTTCAGAATATATGGAAGACAGCATCTTAAAGGGACAACGCCAAAACTTAGTAAAAATCTGGGCCCCCCACCCCAGAGTTCCTGACCTCCAGTGCTAGGTTGGCTCCTGGGGACCAGCCAGTGGGAAGAGCCAGCTCCACAGAAGTTAAGGATGCATACCAGAAGACTCTCCTCAGCACAGTAGGGTCATCAATGTTTTTTGGGCTTTTTTTGTTTTTTTGAGACAGGGTTTCTCTGTGTAGCTTTGGAGCCTATCCTGGCACTCACTCTGGAGACCAGGCTGGCCTCGAACTCACAGAGATCTGCCTGCCTCTAGCTCCCCAGTGCTGGGATTAAAGGTGGGTGCCACAAACATCTGGCTGGTCATCAATGTTGTAACGCTTGTGAGTCCTGTATGTCTGGAATCAATTGAACATGAACACCTCTCCCTAGCTGTACAATGTTCAAGCCAAAGACTCATAAATTCTAAGCTAAAGGAACCAAATCACCAGAAGAGTTAAATCCTAACCCCAGTTCTGCCTTTTCCCAGGCAACACAGCCTTGACAGCCCACTCGCTCTGTCTGGAAATGGCACTAGTGGTCCCTATTTGTCCTGGACTATCACCTACAACCAATGTTCTCCCCTCTACTCCCCCAGGAACTGCTATTTATTGGCTATTTACTGTAAAAGCTATTCTATACATTCTATACTTTTTTATGAAATTGGCATTCTGGCTGGTTACCATCTCACTAAGGTTTGCAGGAATAAGTTAATAGGTGTTCTTTCTTCCTGTTATGATGGGGCTACACACTGGTAAACACATCATCAGTTGGAAACACTACAAATCCCATAGTTTAGCCAACTCTAAGGCTACTTAAAATACCTTACTGGCCTCTGCTGGGCTAGAACTGACTTTAATAAGGCAAGCCAAGACAGCCACCAAGACCTGACACTCACTCCCCACACTGCCTTTCGTTCTGATGTGTCCCCAGAAGAGCTCTGTCCTGACCTCCTAGTATACATGGAGCTCTGGGTCCAGAGAGGACCTCCGACCATGGTAAACCATAAACATGGACTGAGGGAAGAGCTGATGAAGGTCAGTTTCTATGGCCCTGTGCTTCTCAAGAGGAAAATGCAGTACTGTCAGAAGAGCTGAATCCTAACCCTGACTGCATAATCTTCACCAACCAAAGAAGCACTCTGACAGGAAAACAGGGCAGAATTCACAGGGCCTCACTCTCTTCTCCCATCCCCAGGTAAGGCTCCTCGAGGACATTCATCCTTGATCCCATGGAAGTACATGCCAGCTTAACACTGTAGAATGACAGCCTAGGGACAGTAAGTGACACTGACAGAAAGATAACACAGCCCAATCTCACCAGGTATTTCAATAAAGGAGTTCGGGACTCAACTTCATTCTCACCTCAGTTTACAAAATACCTCACTCAGAACTGGACAGAACTCTAGAAAACTGCCAGGCAGTGCTGGCGCACACCTTTATTAATCCCAGCACTTGGGAGACAGAGGCAGGTAGATCTCTGTGAGTTCAAGGACAGCCTGATCTACAAAAAGCTAATTCCAGAACAGTCAGAGCTACACAAAGAAACCCTGCCTTGAGAAAACCAAATAAATGAATGAATGAATGAATTAATTAATTAATAGAAAGATAGAGAGAAAGGAAGGAAGAGAAAGAAAGGAAGAAAGAAAGGAGTCAATCTTTCTACAGCTCTGAAAGATGGATATCAACAGAGAATAATATCCTAAATTGTCACCCAAAATCCAAACAGCAGAAAAGACCTGCATTCAGATACTAGTAAAAGGTCTGAATAGTCACGAGGCACCAAGGAAAACATATCTCCACTTCAGGCCTTTAGTGACCAAGAGCAGGCCTAGGAACACAGGTCATTCTTAACCATTCTTTATGCCCTCTCTATATGTGAATTACTATCTTAAAATGAAAATGACTGAAGATGCTTTAAGATTCCCCATTAGCAGCCAGGCAGTGGTGGTGCATGTGTTTATTAATCCCAGCAATCAGGTTTACAGAGTGAGTTCCAGAACAGGCAAGGCTACGGAGAAACCCTGTCTTGAAAAACAAACAAAAGATTCCCCATTAGCAAACCCAACAAGTCTCCAAATGTGCTTCCAGGAAGGATACAAGGAAGAAGGCTGACTCAACATGGCAGGGCCCCTGTGGAAGGAGTGTTCTTGGGGAACAGACAAGGTAGATGGTACCCAGAGAGGGCTGATCAGGACAGCTACAATGACCTGCAAGACAAGCAGCCTCTTGTACCTACCATCAGCTGCAGCTGGTGTGAGTGGGATGTACTCGGTGGATGTGGGGCTGCTCAGGGACACACGGGCCCCTGAGAGGTCAATTTTTGTGCTGCGACAGGTATTCGAGCAGACCTTGTCATGCTGGTAGAAGTCTAGCTCCCCAGAGTCCATGATCTTCCTGTGGAGGGGCCAGAACAGTCCAGGTGAGACCTAACTGAAGATACCTCATCTACCACTGTGACTCAGACTGTTCAACTGCAGGGGGCACGTTCTCACAGAGGTACCAACTGGGGCCAGGCTCCTCCTCTGAGGCAGGAAAAGGGTTACAACTTTCGCTATGCACAGAGCTCAACTGCAAGTACAGGACAAGTGGCACAGCCACCCAGGGTCACCTACACAGCATTCTGTCCCCAGGAAGGAGATGAAAGCAGTGGCTAGCAAGTATCCATACTGTGACTGTGGACCTAGGGGACAGACCTATAGCTAACAAAGGTGGTGAGTGACCTAGTCCTGAGGCAGAGAGTTAAGAATCATTTCCAGGAGGAAGCCTTGCCTTTTGGAAGGACAGGAAAGGAGTTCCTCAAACCTTAAAATAATTTCTAAGGTCACTTATTCTCATCTACCAGAGTCTTTCCGTCTAAGTACTCTCTCTGGCCTCTTTGAGGTCTTGGATCAAAATTCAACCAGACTCAGCCAGTCTATCATGACCCCTAAACATAAGGCTAGAGGCTCTAGCTTCACTCAGCCTATGGTCTCAATAGCTATCACATCAGGCATATTTTAGAAAACAGAAGGTTTCTCAGAGGTATAAGGCTGAGAGCTATGAGAAAGCATTAGAGCTGACTGCTCTGACATACCATAGAACGCTGTTAAAAAATTAAACCTAAATGTCTATGTACAAACACCAGATTATATCCTTAATTTTTAATAGTGATTCATTCAAAATACCCACCCACACTACTACCACCAAGTAAAGAATTAGTGGAAATTAAAATGAAACTTAACCAAAATAACTCATCTTCAAAGATTCAAAACTCCTCCCCTCCCAACATCTCAAGCTGGTCAGATGCCCACCTGAGCATGATGCCATTCATCCGGATAGCTCTCTTCCAATCCTTCAAGGTTGATTTCCCTGCCAGGTGCACAAACTCCTTTGGGCTGATCACATGTTCATCATACTAGAAAGAAAACACAGAAGTATAGGACTTTCTCAATCTAACACGGGCCTGGTGTTCTTGCTCCAGCCTGCACCAGGGGTTCACAGAATGGAGGAGAACCATAGCATGGATCTACTAGTCACAGGCCTTAGTACGGAACACTTTGACACAGTGTTCCGTTGGAATATGCCTCCAGAGTGCTGAGATTAAAGAAGTGTGTCACCACTGCCCAGATGGCTTTGTCTGTTTTGAAGCACCCACTCACTCTTTATTGCTTTTATGACAAAGCTGTCCCACCACATGTCTGCTCTGCCCTCTAACCCCATGGCATTTACTTCAAGTAAACATGCCAAATGATGAAGAAAAGTGATGGGTCAGAGAAGAACAACCCTTGAGGGTTAGGAGTCACCAAATCCTTCACAAAACAAACTTAAAAGCAACAATTTTGTCAAATGCCACAGAGAGTTTCCACAGTGAAAAGGGAGGTGGTCCTTAATTATATATTTTTTTCTTTCAGGGCCTGATAGATTTTGGTACATATGTCTATTGCTGATCTTTTTTTTAAAAAAAAATATTTATTTATTTTACATCCCAGCAGCAGTTTCCCCCCCCCTTCTCTCCTCCCAGCCCCTCTTCTTTACCCCAATCTGTTCCCACTCTACAGTCTACTCTTCCTCTATTTCTGTTTAGGAAAGGGCAGGTGTCCCATGAATATCAACAAAACATGGCCTATCAAGTTGCAATAAGACTAAGCTCCTCCCCATGGTTTTGGTTTTTTTAAAGGCAGGGTTTCATTGTGTAGCTCCAGCTGGCCAAGAACTTGCTATGTAGGCCAAGCTGACCTGGAACTCATAGAAATCCAGTTGTTTCTGTCTCCATGTGCTAGGGTTAAAGGCATGCACCATGATATTTGGCCCTGCAGGTTAGGTATTCTATTATAGTTCTGTCTCCTAATTTGTGTTTGAAGTTTTTCTAAGGAGTAAAGTCAGCCTGGGTTTCCCACCCATAGGTTTTATCAGTTCAATGGTTGCCTACCCCAGGAATTCTAATTCATATTAACAGCTGCTTATCCTAAAGCCAAGGATATAGACGTCAGCCTATATATAGACAGGGAAGCTTCATAAAGCTTCTTCACTGCAGCTATGTCCCTGTGTGTGTATGTAGTCTAGGAGGGATACTCTGTCTGCTGGTTACTCCACTCACAGCTAGTTTATAGCCACTGAGGGTTCCTAGCCCGCCACTGTTTCCATATTCTCATGAAAACTTCACTTTTCTCTAAGCACATACCTAATAGGAGTGAGTGTACTTAATATAAGAAAAACTACATGAAATACATTGCTTGGGGTTTTGTTTTGTTTTTTTGAGACAGGGTTTCTCTATGTAGCTTTGGTACTTGCTCCTGAAGACCAGGCTGGTCTCAAACTCACAGAGATCTGCCTGCCTCTGCCTCCCAAGTGCTGGGATTAAAGGCGTGCGCCACCACCAACGCCCGGCCATGAAATACATTGTAATAAACTTTATTTCTCAGTCATTGAGCCATCACTGAGGACTCTGTAGTCTCTTCAAGCCCCTTTCTTCCTAACACTCTATCCCAACTTCTGCCTGTCTTTTCTTGCAGCGCCTCCCACAGACTGGCTATTCTACAGAGGAAAAGACATTGTTTTGCGTGTACACTATCCATATCCTACACCTTTGAACTCACTGTTGATAAAAGTAAAGATCATGACCAGCTTCCTATTAGCACTGAGTTATGTCTATAGGAAAATAATCTGCAGGAGGACTCTAATTACTGACCAAGGGGCCACTGATGAATACAATCAAAAGAAACTAGTAAAGAATTTGTGTGTGTGTGTGTGTGTGTGTGTGTGTGTGTGTGTGTGTGTGTGTGTGTGTGTGTCTGCCTCATGCCTGTAAGCTTTCAGCTACTGTTCCAGCGCCACGCCCTCCCACCTGCTGCCATGCTCTCCACCATGATGATTATGGACTCTAACCTCTAGAACCATGAGCCCCAATAAATTCTTTCTTTTATAAACTGCTGTGGCCATGGTGTCTCTTCACAGCAATAAAAAAGTAACTAAGACATTCACCAAACCTGGACCTCACCAATTTGGAAGACTAGCTAGCCAGCAAGTCCCACTGCCTCTGTCTCCATAGTGTTGGGAAGACAGTATGTACCATTATGCTTTTGTTTGTTTTCAGTTTTGACAGGGGTTCTCTGTGTAGTCCTGGCTGCCTTGAAATTCACTTTGTAGACGAGGCTGACCTTGAACTCACAGAGATCCACCTGCCTTTGCCTCCTGAGTGCTGGGATTAAAGGCATGTGCCACTACCACCCATCTAAATGGGTTTTTTTGGGGGGGATGGGGAATTTTTAAAATTTTAATTTAATTACAACATTTCTCCATTCCCTTTCCTCCCTCTAAATCCTTCCATATAACTTTCCTTATTCTCAAAATTGATGGCCTCTTTTTCCACTAATTGCTATTGCATGCATATATGTATATACATATTATTCCTAAACATAACATGTTCATTCCATATAATATTACTAGTATGTTTGTTTTGATGGCTGACTATGTAACATTGGACAACCAATTGGTGTGATCTTCCCTGGGGAAGACTACCTCTCCCACTCCCAGCTTTCCTCTGTTACCTACAGTTCTTTGTAAAGGGTTGAAGCTTTGTGGATTTTCTCCATCCAGTTTGGCATGCTCATCGGTGTCATCCCTGTTCACCTAATATCTGAGCAGTCATGTTGATGAGACTTTATGGATGTAGTTTCTGGTATTACTAGGAGAGACAATCTCATAGCAAACTCACTGAGAGTGCTAGAGATTTAACTCAGATCCTCCTGCATACATAGCAAGCCCTTCACTGAGTCATCTTCCTAGCACAAAATATGTTTTTATTTGTTTGATTTTTTTTTTTAGGTGGTACTGGTAATTGAAATCTACGGTTTTTTGGTTGCTAGACAAGGGGTGTATGTGTATGTGTGTGCATGTGCGCTCTGAGTTATATCTCCAGCCCAGCAGTAAAGGAATTTAAGAAGAAATTTGCCTGCAATAACAATAGAATTGAGCATCCAGAATACAAATGAAGTAACTCAGCTACAGGATAGCCAGTACAAGAATATTTGCCAGCTCTGTGGCAGAGACTGAATTTACGAAAGATGATCAGCTGAAGGCTCGTTAGTTTTAGATCAGTGGTTCTCAACCTGTGGGTCACAACCCCTTTGGAAGTCAACCAACCCTTTCACAGGGGTTGCATTATCAGACATCCTGAATATCAGATATTTACATTATGATTCATAACAGTAACAAAATTACAGTCGTGATGTAGAAATGAAAATAATTTTATAATTGGGGGTCACCACAAAATGAAGAACTATATTAAAGGGTCACAGCATTAGGAAGGTTGAGAACCACTGTTTTAGAGCTTGTAGTTCATGAAGGCTTAATAAAGATTTCCTTTTAAGGCACAGAATTTCCCTTCTGTCCCTTGACACAAATTTAAAAGCATCACAGCTTATATCGTAATCACATGGAGTCTGCTTTTTAACTTAGTATAATACATTTATGTAATAAACTGAAAAGAGGGGAACCTTACTTACTCATGTATTGCTAATTAGTTCTCTTTTGTTATGCTAGCACTAAACTCAAAGCCTTGTACATGCTAAACAAGTGATCAGCCACTGAGTTCCAGCCTGCTGTTATTTAACATCAAATTATTCCAGATGGGAGCCTTTCTGTCCATCTGGGAATACTTTGGGTCTTTCAAATGATGGACTGCAGTCTTCCCTCCTCAGGAAATCTTCAGCCTCCTTCCTTGCAGACAGACTTGTCATATTTTTCTCCTGCTTCTATCTGCCACTTTCTTATGTTTATGAACTGAGTTTTGGATGAAGTTTTTGGTTCTGTCCTCCAGTTCACTAATCATCTCTTCAGCTATGTCTAATCTCTGAAACTATTAACCATATATTTAGTTTTAATTCTATTAATTTCTAGCTAATTTTTTGTCAAATTTGTTCATGTTTTATACATGTTCAGGCTTATCTTTTATTTCTTTAGATAAATTTAAAATAATTATTTGGAATTAGGGGATGGTCAATTGGTAAAGTGCTTCCTGCACAAACACAAAGGATCTGTTTGGAACCCCAGCACCAACATAAAAAGCCAGGTACAGTGGTTCATGTCTGTAATCCTAGTGATGAGTTGATTCTGTTGCTCACTGTTTCTGTTCATGCTCACCCAAGTTACCTTGCTCCCTTGTGTTAAGTGCTTTGGTTTTCTTTTTCTGTGAAGTTTTCTACCCCCACCCATTACAACTCTGTAGAAATTCCATAAGGTAAATGTGATTTCTTCAAAAAGGATTTTCAACTACTTTGTCAAACTGTGGAAAAAGTCAGGCTAGGACCTACTTAAAACCAAGCTCTCCTCTGATGGAGGTTCTAACCATACTGCCACAGGTCAGTGTTTTAGAGCAATTTTATGTGTTTAGAAAAGGGTTGGTCTCTACACTTGGTACTAATGAGACTCATGACATCAACCCACCTCTGCCCACCCTGAGCAGAATGTTGGCACCTCCAGTTTAAGCACTGAGAAGAGAAGCTTGCTCTCTAGAACATTGACCTATGGCAGTATGGTTAGAACCTCCATCAGAGGAGACTAGCCCCTCTAAACACACTCTACGAGGAACCCCATGTTTTACCTTCTTGTCTCCAGCAGGCAAAACTGAGATGATTCATGTCTTGGGCAAGAGCAAGACTCAGCATTCTGTCTGAGCATTATACCCACACACTTTGGCCTTGGGACTGATGGCTTTTACCTTTAACCACCTTAAGATGGCTTTATGGGCCAAGTGGTGGCGGCACACACCTTTAATCCCAGCACTCGGGAGGCAGAGGCAGGAGGATCTCTGTGAGTTTGTGGCCAGCCTGGTCTACAGAGCTAGTTCCAGGACAGCCTCCAAAGCCACAGAGAAAGCCTGTCTAGGAAAAAAAAAAAAAAAAAATTGGCTTTATGGGGGGTTGGAGAGATGGCTTAGTGGTTACAGTACTTGTTTTCTTGCAGAGGACCTAAACTCAATTCCTAGCACTCACATAGTAGATCATAACCATTTATAACTCCAGTTGCAGGGGATTTGATGCTCTCTGGTCTCCTCAGTCACCAGGCATGCATATGGTGTACACTCATATATGTAAGCAAAACACTCATACATATAAAATAGAATAAATAAATTTTTAAAAATTTCAAACCAGCTTTATGAATATACTTTAGTGGGGATTTTGGTTGTTTTAATACAAGATGAATTTAGGTACCAACCTATTATGTTGCCAGAAAGAGAATATCTTTCCCACTCAACATCCCTTAGCTACTAAATGAGTATCTTCAGAGCATACCTCACTCTGTCAAACAAAGCCATTCACAACTCAGAGGCCACAGCTTCCACCATACCTAACAGAAGTAAGCGTATGTAACATAAATAAGAAAAATGACATGACATGCACTGCCATAAACTTCTCCTCCTTCAGTTAGGTATGTCTTCTCGCCAACCTGTCTCTGTTGTTTCACCTCAGCAGAAATGAAACTACTCTAGCTACAGGCTTTTCTTCGCTGCACTCATAGGTCCCAGAGGTTATCTGCTGTGCCTCCTCTGTCTCCCCAGGCCCATGAGATTCAGCCTCCAGAGGAGTGTCTTGCATAGGCCACTGCCACCCCAACCCCCAAGCAGGAGGAAGTGCAGGTAAAGGTGTGCGCCTCACCTGACCCTCACCTGAACACATTTCACATTGATGCCAGGGCACACAAACTTCCTCCAAATGAGGTTAGCTCTGCTGTCTCCGCAAGTGATGGGGTACACAATTTCAGCCTCTAAGTTCTCCCCCTCTTCAGCCATCTTCACTTCTCACAGACACATGGACAAGAAAAAGTAGAAATGGAAAATCAGTTAGAAACTTTCCAAAGCATTTTCTGCAAATGTGGAAAGCAGCTACCAACCTGAAACCAAAGTGCGATACAAAAAGGCCTGAAACAGAGACCAGAAGCAGGGGTTCCCATCAATCCCATGGAGAGTTTCAGATGAATCCACAAAAAGACTTAACTATTTATCAGTAACTATTAACCACAATATTAATATAAGCTCATTAAATGGCCAATTAAAGACAAAAATCAAGCCATAGTTCAAACACTATTAGGGAAAAAAGTCTTAGGTATCCCAACTCTTTACTCTGATTGACACAAGGGCCCACAGATAATAAAAGAACACCTACAATCATTCACTGGCAGACAAAGGAAACAGGGGCAAGACAACAAAATATAAAAGAGGGTAAAGCTTCAAGATTTGGGGTGACTCTTCTTTTTTCCACTAGAAGCTGGTAGACACAATGTGCCGCTCCCTCTTAAGAAAACCTGGGGTCCGGTCTCTTACATGCTTGTGTAGTTAGCCCCAGCTATTACCTCAATTGTGGGACTGTCCTGTCCTCACAACCAACAGAGTAGGCAGAAGGCAGGCTTCCCACCTAATACAGCTTCCCAGCCAATAGGGTTTCCTACCTAACACGGCTTCCTTGAGCTGTGAGGAGGCTGTAAAGGCTGCAGCAGCTGCAGCTGCTGCATTTTCTGTTTCCATGTTATCTTCCGTCAAGTCACCCCTGGCAGACAGAGAAAAAGAGCGTCAGAATCACAAGTACACACTTTGCACCCCTGGCACACCTAGAGTGTGGAAGGATGAATCTTATTGTTGACACACAAATTACACTTTTCTATCTTTATTCAGAAACTGTGGTGGCTATGCAGAGAAAAATGTACAGACAAGTGCCTATGCTATCCTCAGGAGAACAGATAGTTTGCATTTTCTGTTCCACTTCTGTCTTCCAGAATGGCATGGACAAGCAAAGCCAAAGTGAGGAATTTATAGAAGCAACAAATGTTCATGTGGAAACTCAAAACCATTATTTCTTTATTTAATAAAGTTTTCTATTTCCAAAATAATGATTTCATACTGTTATACAAAGTTACTAAAAAATATACATTTTATACGGTTTTAGAGATAAAACTCGGGCAAATGTTCTACTGTGCAATATACTCAGAAAATACAAAATTTTTGAAAGAGGAAAAAAATTTCACCTTGACCAACTCTTATCTCATACCAAAATAAATTATGAGCAAACCAAAAGCAAAGGCAAAAGGTGAAGCCCTACAGTATTGATTTTCTTTAAAAGAAGAGAATTATTAGTAGTGGTTATAAGATAGTAAGGTTTTTCTTATATACAAAATCCAGAACCACAAAAAAAAGGATACCCTTGGCTTAAAAAATAAAAATACTTGGGGTTGGGATGCATCTCAGCTGGTAGAGTACCTACCTGGTGTGCACAAAGACCTGAATTTGATTTGCCAGTAACACATAACAGTGGGCATGATGGTACATGCCTATATTACCAGAAGGCAGAATAATCAGAAGTTCAAGAAATACAGTAAGCTAAGGCCAGCCTGGGCTACATGAGATCCCATTTCAAAATAAACCAACAAAAATAGAATCCAGGGCCCAGTGAGATAGCTCAGCAGGTAAAAGCACTTATTGCCAAACCTGACAATCTCAGATCAATCCTCAGAACTTAGTTCTCTGACTTCCATTACACACACACACACACACACACACACACACACACACACACACACACACAAAATTTAATTAATTAAATTTAAAAAATAGAAGCCAGGGTGTATATAATACATACTTATCATTTCAACACTCAAGAGCAGAAACAGGGGCATCACTACAAGTTACAGACAAGTCTGATCTACTTAGCTCTTTCCAGGCCAGTTAGTGCTACACAGAAAGACCCTCAAACTTCCTCTAAAATTTAAAATATAAATAAATAAAAGTAGGGGCTACAGAGATGGCTCAGTAATTAAGAGTATTTGCCGCTTTTACAGAGGACCTTGGTTCATCCCAGCACCCATATGGTGGCTCACAACTACCTGTAACTCCAGTTCCAGAGGCCCCAATGCTCTCTTCTAACCTTTATGAGCACTACATATGCATGGTACGCTTGAATACATGCAGGTGAAAGACATATACACACCCAATAAAAATACAAAAATCTGTCTATTTGTTTTGAGACAGGGTCTCACTATGCACGTAGCTTTGGCTGGCCTTGAATTCAGAGATCCACCTTCCTCTGTCTCCCAAGTGTTGGGATTAAAGGCATACATTACCATATTCTGTCCCAAAATAAATAAATAAAATTAAAATCTTGGGTTGTTTAGATCATCCGCCAGGAAAGGTACTTGCTATGCAAGCTTGATGACCTGAGTTCAATTCCCAGAACCCATATAAAAGTTGCTCTCTGAGTTCCACACAAACACTATGGCGCACACAATAAATTAAAAACAAAAATACAACAATAAAAAACCCTTTTAGTGCCAGGCAGTGGTGGCGCACACCTTTAATCCCAGCACTTGGGAAGCAGAGGCAGGTGGATCTCTGTGAGTTCAAGGTCAGCCTGGTCTACAGAGCGAGTTCCAGGACAGCCAGAGCTGTTACACAGAGAAACCCTGTCTCTAAAAAGCAAAAACAAAACAAAACAACACAACCCTTTTAGCATGGGACAAAAAACACCATAAGCAACTTTTTAAAAGAGAGAACACATAAATAGTTAGAGGACAGTCTACCAAGGTCCAAGACCAAAGCCATGAAAGACCTGTGAAGAGACTGCTTCTAATTTCTAAGAAACACAAATGAGGATTATGGCAAAAACTGAGGTGTTCGGTAGTAGAGTGCTTACCTAGTGTTATCAAGGGCCTGTGTTCAATCTCCAGCACTGGGAGAGAAAAAAGATGAGTGAGAAACCACTTTCACCCAGATGGTCCTATCACCGTGGTATTTGTGGGAAAAGCTTGATGTGATAATACATGTGTGGAACAGCAGCATTCCAGCATAGCTGGAAAACCCCAAGACGGCACAATTCATTGTTTAGACATAGGTAGCTTACCCAAAAGGCTTGTGCTAAAGGCTGTTCCCAATAGAGCAGTATTCAGAGCTGGAGCTTTTGGGGAAGTGACTGGATCATAAAGGCTCTGACTTTATCAATGAATTAATCACTTGATGGATGATAATATGATGATATTATTGAGAGGTGGTAGAAAGTAAAAGGTGGAGTCTAAAGGAAGTACATCATTGGGAGTGTGCTCTAGAAGGAAATACCTTTACCCTGGCTCCTCCTTTCATTTTCTGTTTCCTAGCTGTCAAGAGATGAGCATCTTTCCCTGTCATCTCCATTCACCACACCATGGCCTACAAACAATGAATCCAACTACCATGCTCTGAAACCACTTTACCAACAGGTATCTGGCATCCACAGCTGCTTGCACAGATGTAGGCTTCTCCCTCCCATGGCTAGATAGTGTTCTAGCCTACAAAATGTCTACAATTATTACACAAGCAATGAGCAATTTTCTAGGTAAGTCTGAAATTCATCGGAGATCAGGGCTTGGCCCAGACTAGGGATCCCTCAGTGAAAGTTCTTGTGAATAAGAAGGTCCCTTGAGCTGGACAGCTGCTCTTCCAGTGGACCTGGGTTCAATCCCACAACTGTCTGTACCTCAAGTTCCATGGGATTCAACACCCTCTTCTGGTATCGTACCCAAAAGGTGCCCAAGTGGTATACAGACACACATGAAGGCTAAACACCCATACAAACACAAATTAATTAAGAGGGTCCCTGGGAAATAAGGAAACAAAGTAGTGTGAGACAGATGATCCCTGGAAACAGAGAAGACCTAAGGCCAAGGCACCAATATTTGGCAGCATCAGAAAGCTAGACCCTGGAGAGACTGTCTACTGAAGGAAATACAGTGTGGATAACAATGTGTGGCTAGAAAACACTCTCAGACTTGTCATAAAGGACAATGGGTACCAAGATGAACTAGGAGTTCAGGAAGAGGACATTATTCAAGGTTAAAACATGGGCTACTCGATGCAGAGAAGAGGGTACCTGGAACCCACAGCTGTGCCTTGCATGTGAAGGCACATTTGCCCACAGTGAGCCCTCATAGTCAGAGACCCACACAGCCTCCAGCCTGACCACTCCCCTCAATGGATTTACATACCAGGAGCTCCACCTTAGCATCTCAGCAGCTCAGGAAACAGTCCCTGAACAGCAGGCATATCTGTCTCCTGTGGAATACCTGATGATGTTAAGTCAACTCACTACTTCCCAATCATCAAGATTTATTTTACCTTGAACCAGGTCAGAAAAGGGAGTTAAATAGAAATACAAACTTGGAATCATTTTTTGTTTGTTTGTTTTTGTTTTGTTTTTCTAAACAGGGCTTTTTTATATAGCTCTGGCTGTCCTGGAACTCACTTTGTACACCAGGTTAGCCTCAGAATCACAGAGATCCATCTGTCTCTGCCTCCCTAGTGCTGGGATTAAAGGCATGTACCACCACTACCTGGCTTGGAATCTGCCTTTTGAGACATTAAGAATGGCTCTGAACCAGGCATGGTGGTGCACACCATTAGTCTCATCCCTCAGGAGGCAGAGGCAGGCCTAATCTACATGGAAAGTTCTAGGTCAGCCAGGACTATTTAAAGCTTTCTAATGTTGAGACCCTTTAATACAGTTCCTCGTGTTGTGATGACCCACAGCCATGAAATTATTTTCATTGCTATTTCATTACTTTAATTTTGCTACTTTTATGAACTGTAAATATCTGATATACAGGGTATCTGATAATGCAGTCCCTATGAAAGGGTCAATCAACCCTCAAAGGGGTCTCGACCCACAGGTTGAGAGTCACTGATGAGAGTCACTGTCTCAAAAACAACAATAACAACAACAAAGAATGATTCTAATATGAATAGCAATGATACATGGGAACACCCAGACTCCAAAATGTCTGCAGGAACTTGGAAAGGAAGCTATCCTCCTCAGCCAGAACTCTGGACAAAGCAGAGGACAATGACAGGACCAGAATGTACACCCTGTCCAAAACAAATTCTTCCAAGGAAGGAAGTTAGGAGTGGGGAAAAGAGAACCGAAACCCGTAGCTATGTCATTTAGAGAGAGACTACAGTTCCCAACTTGGGGGGTCAGTAGAAAACCCAAACAAGGACATTAGCAAGCCAAGCGCCAGCATTAAATGGCTGAGAAATCCAAAGTGAAGACCGAGGAAGGAAGTACCGCCATGGATATAAAGTACGGTCCCTCTGCAGCACAACCTATAAGAATATCTCTCCAACTTTCAGCAAAGATGCTAACAAATTGACATTTCTGTTCATATGTCACATTAAAAAATGCATACTTTCCCTAAACATGTGAACTTCTGGCTTTCTATTAAGAGCTGCTTTCTTCTCTGCGATAGACAGACTTTGCCACAGCATGGTAGTAAGCAGGAATAATTCTGCCAGGCTTTCTAAGTAAAAATATACCCCAGGCCTCCCCAAATCAGGAAGGAAATCAGTTCCCACAAAGAATTTAACTAGCTTCTACTTCACTTTATTATTATTATTATTATTATTATTATTATTATTATTATTATTATTATTATTATTAGCCCACATTAAGACTTAAGACTCTGGGCTGGAGAGATGGCTCGGTGGTTAAGAATACTGACTGTTCTTCCAGAGGACCAGAGTTCAATTCCCAGCACCCACATAACAGCTCACAAGTGTGTGTAATTCCAGTTCCAGAGGACTCAACACCTATAGCAAAACACCAATGCACATAAAATAAAAATAAATAATAAGAGTCAAGTCTCATTTTCCAACTAGCAGAATCATGTAAACTGCTCCCCCCTCTTTCAGGACAGATCTGCTTTGGGGGCTATGGGGGTTCTTCCAAAGGAGGAATTCATAGCCTCTCCTATTCTGTAGAAAGGACTGACCATTGGAGCAGCATGCTAGTACCCTGGTACTAAGGCCACAGATAGAAGAGTCTTTCTGATCCTTCATAGTTTTTGCCATCAAAGGGAGTCATTTATTATTCTCCCACTTAACTCAGGCAAACTTTGATCAGTTTACTAATGGGATGGATAAGACTTTATAGTTCCCAACCCTGCTATTAGAACCTTCCACTATGAAGACATTCTGATAGGTGACAGTCATATGAAGAGCTTGTGTTCTAGGTATAGAGTGAGGCCACCCAGACAAAGTAAACCCAATACACCAAGAAAGCAAAAAGCACTAGTTATTTGTCAGGGTCCATAAAAATGGCTCCGCTTCATCTTGACTTAAGGTCAGAGAGTTCAAAACCACTATTGCTCTTTCAAGGTTATGTTTGGCATAAGGTATGGCTAATGGATATCTTACTTTGACAAGAGGATATGTGGCCTAAGGATTAACTAATGGATGTCTTGCCTTGACAATAGGCCATTTGGTTTAGGTGTGGTTTCTTGATATTTTGGATATTGAGAAGGTAATTACACTTGTTTATTCTCTGTATCTTGGTAAGGAAGTCTTTTGCCTCCCCCTCTTTTGATTGAGGCATAAAAGAGCTTTAATAATAAACTTGGGGTAGTTCCTGGTATTCACCAGTTGCCCTCCGAACTCTATCCTGTGTCTCTGTCCTTTCTTTAGTATCTTTAATTTTTCTACCTGCCATTTCTTAATCTATACTCCCCTTCTCAGGTATAGACTAGACAAGTCAGCTGGACCCAACAGATGTCCAACAATGTGGGCTACAACAGTTATATAGTCTGTTAAGTTCTGTGATCATCTGTCATATAATTTCTATAGCTAAGACAGTAATGATACCAGGGTGTGAACTGCAATTTCTCCCTACATAGTATAGTACCATCAGCAAAGGCTATGACAAAAGGAGATACTGCAACTACTAGGCCTCATAACATAAGAAAGAAACCTGTATCCTGGCAATTTAGAAAGTGGTAAACCTAATTATTGTGTGAATCTCATAAGGAATATCTCAAGTAAAAAAAAAAAATGTAGAACTTACAAAGAGTACAGGGATTGAACTATTTCTTATCTACAACTATCAAAGCTTTAGGGCAAACCAAAACTGTGTGTGCCTGTGAGGGCTTCTTACTTTGCTTTCCAAGATTCAAGGCAGTACCTGGTCAAAGGCTCCAAACACCTTCAGGACCTACCCGAAATGCAGACAGATACCTACCTAAAGGAATTCATCACATGGCCTTTTAACAGGCCTGTTCCTCTGGCTCTCCTTGTGTGATATTTTGTTTGTGTTCTGACAAATAAAGCTTGCCTGGAGATCATAGGGCAGAGCTAGCCATTAGTTAACCACAGTGGCCAGGTGGTGGTGGCTTATACCTTTAATCCCAGCATTCAGGAGGCAGAGAGAGGAAGAGATAAGGTGGGCAGAGACAGGATCTTGGCTCTTTTTGGACAGAGGAACAGGACAGGTAAGAAGCAACTGGCAGCTGCTCCAGGTTTTTACTCAGCAAAAGAAACTAACATACTAGCAAACAGGCAAACAAAGAACTGACCAATATACTTCTTACTATTGTTTAACAATTATTGTTAGAGCTGCTCAGGAAAGCTGCTCAGAGTTGACATAACAAAGCTGACCTCCAGAAAGCCCCTTTCTAATAAAGACAAAAGTAGCAAATGTGGATAGCAAATGGGGATACCCAGATGCTGAAGAACTATGCTGACCAACATCCTCATATCTAGGATAGCTCCAGAGGTTTGATCTCTATTACAAGATAGTAAGATACCCATAAGGGACAGTTCTAAACCCACAACTATGTGAAAACACCCAAGAAGACAGATAGTACTACCCAACTGGGCATGGTAGTGTCTGCTTCTCATTTTTCATTACTCAGGAAGTGAGGCAAGAAGATCCCCTTTCATTCCAGGCCTGGGCTACATAGTGAATTCCAGGATAGATTACAGAATGAGACCCTGCCAAAAGAAAGAGATGGGGTGGGGGGGGGCAATCAAAGGGTCTATGATGTGGGACTGGAACTGTATAGCAGGGTCCACCGCAATGCTGGGCTTCAGCTGGAAAGACTATCGTGAGTATGGCTCTCCTCACTTCTCCTAAAACCCTGGATGATACCAGAGCTATGAAGTAGGACAGTTGAACTCTTAACAGTGACCCCAGGGCAGAACGCAGAAGCTACGTGGCCTTTTCTAATCCAGTGTCACTTCAGCCACACTGTTTACCACAGGTTAGCCCAAATCGGAAAAGGCAGGTATGGCTTTTGGATAAGGGTACACAAAGGCCAATGGGAGGTATCAGAAAATATAGTGTATCTAAAATATATACACAGGAAACATCTAACCCATGTAACAGGACACAGATAAAAATCAAAAGAGACTCAATGGGCTGGGTATAGCAGTGCTTTTTAATTCCAGCACATGGGAGGCAGAGGGAAGCACATCTCTATGAGTTTGAGGCCAACCTAGTTTACACAGTGAGCTCTAGGACAGCCAGGGCTATATAGAGAGCTGTCTCAAAAAAGAAAAAAAGCCAGGCAGTAGTAGTGCACACCTTTAATCCCAGCACTCCGGAAGCAGAGGCAGGCAGATCTCTTGTGAGTTCTAGGACAGCCAGGGCTACGAAAAGAAACCATGTCTCAAAAAAACAAACCAAATCCAAAAAAAAAAAAAAGAAAAGAAAAGAAAGAAAGAAAGGAAAAATAAAAAAAGAGAGGAAGAAAGAAAGAAAATGAGAGACTAAGTAGAAAATGCCATTGGGAGGGCCCTACTTTACAGACAGTGTCTTGTACTATGTCGACAAAGCAGGGAGGATCACATGGAATTCAACTCACAACCACCCAAAGCCAGCCCTACACAGCTAGGCATACCAGCTTCCATACCTGACCTCCTAAGTAAGACATGGTCAGACCTCTCAGAGCCCAAATCATTATTCTACAGCTGAGAGTAAGACATGTATATGAGAACACACACAGAGAAGACTGGTCTACAATCTTCCTCTTAAAAATTCACTGTCAACAGGTTGTTAGTGAGCCAAAAGCTCACGTAGGCTCCGGGAAAAGCCAAGTACAGTATGACAATACTACACACAAGATGCAGCAAAGACAAGCCAAAAGCTCAGAGACCAAGTCTCTCAGGGGAACACAGTCCCTGACTGTTGCCCTCCTCCTACCCCTTGTCATGGGCAAGAGCTGTCCTGCTACCTTCTCACAATTTGTATATAAGAAATAAAAGGAAGATAAGTTTGGTTAAGTATGACTTTTTGGCCAACTAATTCTTAATTCTGACCTCTAGAACAAGAGATGATAAAGAAAACATTCAGTTCCAACTGTTCCACTTATCAAAGGAGATATCACCAAGAGATTTAGAACCACACTGCAACGATGAGTCTCTGTTGATCCTCTTTCTTGGTGCACTTTGTACCTTTGCCTAAAATATGCTGGGTCCAGTCTTAGAACCTTGTCTATACAGAAATCTTGGAGTTCACCCCTTCACTTGGCACACCAAGCTGTGCCATTATAACCCAGCAGAACCAAGGCTTAGTTCTTACCCATGAGGGGCTAGATTTGTTGTTACAAGCACTGTCTTCACTTCCTCCACACCACTGCCATCAACCGCAGTGTCTGGAGTTGTCACAACCACCACCTCCTCCATGTGGACGCTCACATCTGGGGTTGCCATAGTTTAGTGGAAGAAGATGCCTGAGATCAGCAGTGTCACTCCTTCAGGGTCTCAAATCCTAGAGCAAACAAAGCAGGGCACAAGTTATAGGGTAGTTTCCATACTGGCACAACAGAACAGTCGAGGGCTGAGGTGTAGCTTAACGATAGAGCACTGTTGAGATGTGTAAGGCCCTGGGTTACATCTCCAGCACTGGAAAAAATTTTGCTAACACAGTACATAGACTCTCCCATCTGTCTGATAAGAAATGGCAGCAAGCCGGGCAGTGATGGCGCACACCTTTAATCCCAGCACTCAGTAGGCAGGCAGATCTCTGTGAGTTCAAGATCAGCCTAGTCCACACAGCTAGTTCCAGGATGGCCAGTGCTACATAGAGAAACCCTGTCTTAAACAAAAACAAAAACAAACAAACAAACACAAAAAATCATGTGAAGAAATGGCAGCAATGCAGGAACCCTCTAGGGCTCTGGATTGGTGGGTGTCATGGATAGATGGGTCATACTCCTCCACTTAATCCATGAACCTCAAAGCTCAGAGGCAGCAAGCAGCAGGACATGGAAGGAATGAAGACTCTGGGTGATTTTCCTGAAGGCAGGCTTCCCACTTACTACTTTTCCCTCTGCATCTCCTGCCTGAACTCAAAAGTGGTCTGAGCCCAAGTGTAGACAGGAAGCACCTGTCCTTAGGAAAGTATATTAAAATCCACATGAGACAGATAGGGGAAAATGTCCTGTTTTTACTATTATTATTGTTGTGGTTAATTATTACTGTCATTATTGTTAGTTTCTGTCTTTGCTGGCCCTGCCCTAGGCAAACTCAAGCTCTAACCCTTTGATGGTGGCATTAGCTTCAAGAACACTAAATTCAGAAGGAATGTCTTCCTCACTAGGGCTGTGTGTTTCAAGAACCTGAAGATTGTACTCCCTCATACCCTGAGCTCTATACCAGGCCCAGGATAGACCCAGTCATGAAATGCTGGAGAAAGTACAGCATGGGTTTCTAGCCAGAGGACAAAAAGAGGCCCTAGAGTTAGAGTGGGACATTGTATAAACAGAAAGGACATACAGAGAGGTATATACTTAGCTACACAAGAATGTGTGGGCCATCCTGAGATGTTGTATGTATGAACCTAATCCTACAATGGCAAAACTAATGGCTTTGAGTACTGACCTACAGGGCAGAGTGCTGATAGTTAATGTTAATTTTCAACTCGACAGACTCTATAATCACCTGCAAGATGAGCCTCTGCCCATGCCTAATGGGGGATTATCTTGATTACCTTAATTGATATTAAAAGACCCATCTTAATTATAGATGGGGCTATTCCCTGGGCAGGGAATCCTTTACTCCATCAGTAGAGAACTGAACCTAAGAAGCACACATGCATTCGTTGCTTTTTCCTTGTGACTAGCCACTTGAAGCTCCTGCTGTGTGAAGTGAAATAAACTCTCCCTTAAATTGCACTTTTGTCAGGGTATTTTATAACAGTAACACAACAACAAAAAAACTAAGACAATTCCACTTAGGCTTCAGACTGGGCCATGGACAGTTCTCACAGGGATTGTAGAGGCTCTGAAAATGGACCTGAGCACAGCATGACAGAGTACAGTGCTTCTTGGCTGAGGGTGGTGGCACATACCGGTAAGACCAGTCTTCAGGAGGCTAAGCAAAAAAGGTCCCAAGACAGAGGTCAGCATGGATTACGGAGTGAGATCCTGTCTCACTCAGGGCTGACCAGATGGCTCAGAGAGTAAAAGCACCTTTTGCCAACACTGACAACCTAAATTTGATCCCTGAGAGTCATCTATTGAGGAGAGGGCTGACTGATGCAAGTTATCTTCTGACGACCACACATACATTATAAAATGTACTGTTCCTATGTACACATGCATGCACGCACACACACATACACTACATAAATAAATAAATAAATAAAATTTTTAAAAAGTTTAAAATAAACCTCTTGGCCTGACCAACTAGGTGCTGCTCCTACTTCAGGAAAAATGTCTCTCTAAGTCCGAGGCCAGCTTTTTCTACAGAGCAAGTTCCAGGACAACCAGGACTACACAGAGAAACCCTCTCTCAAACAAACAAACAAATAAATAAATAAATAAATAAATAAGCTGCTTTGATGAGGGAGGTCCTTCTGTGTGTATGTTTATCTTATTGGTTGTTGAAAGAAACCAATTTTGCTCAACTGTGGAGACTCATGTAAAATAAAATGATGGGTAATGTTCTTCTGTGTATATGTTTCTCTTATTGGTTCTTGAATAAAGCACTGTTGACTAATAGGGAAGCAAGAGAGGTGGGACTAGGCGATAGGGAAACAAGATAGGTGGGACTAGGAGTCGAGGAGGATTCTGGGAAATGTAGTAAAGAGAAGTCACCATGTGATTCAGGCAGGAAGTGACATAGCAGGCAGAATCAGATTATACGCAGGGACAAGCAGGAAATCGCTCTTGTCTCTCTTCTCTGCAGAGAGACTGAGCAGAAGTGATGTAGACCCCAAGGGAGTAAGAGGCCCAGATCTTATCTCCAGTAAGATAAAGCCACATGGAGATACTTAGAGCTATAGAAATGGGTTAATGATTAAGAATAAGAAACCTTAGCCAGGGAGAAATGGCTCAGAGGTTAAGAGCACTGGCTGCTCTTCCAGAGGACCTGAGTTCAATTCCCAGCAACCACATGGTGGCTCACAACCATCTGTAATGGGATCTGGTGCCCTTTTCTGGCCTACAGGCCTACATACAAATAGAACACTGTATACATAATAAATAAATAAATATTTTTAAAAAAGAAAGAAACCTTAGCCAACGGTCAACAACTTAATGACAAATACAGTGTCGCTGTGTTTCATTGGGGCAGAGAAGGGCAGTGGGACCTAGCTGGGAAAGAGAAAAACCACGTTACAAATGGCATCCCACATGGTTTTTACGAACTTCCACATACAACTTCACAAAAACTTAAAAAGGGATTTTAGAAACAAAACAATGGAGATAAGCACAGCTTCTTGTTAGCAGCATTTTCTCAGGAGGGCTCTGTTTGCTAGAGACAAGCAGAGACTTGCTAGGCTCCTTTAAGGGAATCTTCCTGACTCAGCATAAAAGGAAAAACCACCTGGCTCTTTTAAGAGGCCCTGTTAACAATTGAATGGTGTGTGTACAAGCAGCTGGCAGTGGCAGTGACCACATCTCCAAGCTGGCAGCATGCTGCTTGATGGTAACATAGACCAAGGTGGTAAGCACAGTTCTCAGTCCTGGTGGTAAACTTACCCTCGCCATCTTAGAAAGACAGCGGCTAAAACAACCACTGCTTTAATTTTAGCAATGTTGTTTAGCAGATAAAAGACCGTGTGGCCAGAAAAAGGTAAAGATTTACAGTAAAGACAAATTCAGATAAAGAAAAACCTCTAAAGGTTTACAGTGTGTTTAAATATATATGTGGGCTTGTGAGAGAAAAAGAAACAGGATAAAGTGTTTTAAAAAGAAAAAAGAAAAAGAAAAAGAAATAGAGTAGCTGGGTGTGGTGGCACACACCTTTAATCCCAGCACTCTTTTTGGGAGGCAGAGGCAGGCAGATCTCTGTGAGTTCGAGACCAGCCTGGTCTATAAGAGCTAGTTCCAGGATAGGTTCCAAAGCTACACAGGGAAGCCCTGTCTTGAGAAAAAGAAAAGAATAAAAAACCTTAGCCAACAGTCACCAACTTAATGACAAATATAGTGTCTATGTGTTACATTGGGGCAGAGAAGGGCAGCAGGACTTGGGGAGGGGGGAACCACACTTTACACTGCTTGATATACAAAGAGCAATGTAAGCCTGGTTACTCTCAAGGGAAAAATAATGAAGAGACACTTACTGCTATAGTCAACAGAGACTTGTAGACAACTAAGTGTATCACCCTCCAAGAGTAAGCCAGATATGCCTGAGAAGAGGTCTGGGCACAAAAGAGAAGTTACCACCAATCAAAAGTCTGGGAATAAAAAATAAGCAGGACTATGGATACTTGAGTGTAGAATGCTTACTTAGCATGTTCAAGGCCCAGTGTTCAATCTTAGCACCACCAAAAAAGTATGTGTGTGTGTGTGTGTGTGTGTGTAAAATAAAAGATCAATAAAAATAAATACAAAGTAAAACACTGGATGGGATCCATGGTAGCTTGGAGACAACAGAAGAAGAAGGCACCAGGGAACATGAGACAACCTCAGAAATTATCCAACCTGAGCATCAGGAAACAAACAGGCTGAACTGAGCTTCACAAAGGTGCAGCAAAACCAGTGAATGCCAATGGAGTCCTAGAGCAGAGAGGAGAGAAAAGCATTAAGCTGGAAAAAAAATTTTTAAGATACACTTGCTAAACATAGCCAGGCATGGTTGTGCATATTTGCATACTTCTAACTTCAACTCAAGAGGAAGAGTCCAGAGGATTGCCAAAAATTCAAGGCTAACTGGATGACATATCAAAATCTTGCCTTAGGGGGGCTGGAGAGATGGCTCAGAGGTTAAGAGCACTGACTGCTGTTCCAGAGGTCCTGAGTTCAATTCCCAGCAACCACATGGTGGCTCACAACCATCTGTTATGAGATCTGGTGTCCTCTTCTGGTGTGCAGATATACATGGAAGCAGAATGTTGTATGCATAAATAAATAAAATCTTTAAAAAAAAAATCTTGCCTTAGGGATAAAAGAAAAAAAAATGCTAAATGCTCCCCAAATTTAGTGACAGACATACATATCTCAGAAGCTTGGCAAACCTTCAACAGGCATATATCCCAATCAGAATCAAGCTGAAAAAAAAAAAAAAATGAAAACTCTCCAAATATCAGGTAAAAGGTATGCTTTACTATATGGTAACTGGAGTTCTCACAAGAAACCACAGGGACTACAAAGTAAAGAAAAGCTATTTATTTATTTAGGTCCTGGATTGCTGTGGAATGATTCTTCTGTACACTGTGAATATGTCTTACTCTCATTGGTTGTTAATAAAGAACTGACTGGCCTATAGCTGGGCAGGAAGAAATTGGGAAGAGCCAGACTAGGAGGATGCTGGGAAGAAGTAGGGAGGAGTCAGAAGAGTAGCAAGCAGGCAAAGAGAGAAGCAAGATGGACATGCTGTACTGAGAAAAGTTACCAAACCTTGTGGCAAAGCACAGATAAGAAATGTGGATTAAGCCGGGTGGTGGTGGCGGCGCACGCCACCTTTAATCTCAGCACTCGGGAGGCAGAGGCAAGGGGATCTCTGTGAGTTAGAGACCAGCCTGGTCTACAAGAGCTAGTTCCAGGACAGCCTCCAAAGCCACAGAGAAACCCTGTCTCGAAAAACCAAAAAAAAAAAAAAAAAAAAAAAGAAATGTGGATTAATTTAATGTAAGAGTTAGTTAGCAACAAGCCTGAGCTATTGGCTCAACATTTATAATTAATATTTAGTCTCTGGGTCAGTTATTTGGGAACAGGCAGGCAGGAAAGAAAAGTCTACCTACACTGGATAGCAAACCCAGACCCTTCTTCATGCCCACTTTCTACTTTTTAAAATAGATTACTTTTATTTTAGGTTTATGAATATGTATGTATGTATGTATGTATGTATGTATATGCTTCACTTGGGTGCCTGGTGCTCACAGAGGCCAGAAGAGGCCATCAGATCTTCAGGAACCGGAGTTACAAATGGTCATGAGCTACTATGTGGTTGCTGGGAGCCAAACTCAGGTCTTCAGAAGAGCAGCAAGTGCTCTAACCACTGAGCCATCTCTCCAGCTCCTTTTTACTTTTTGAGACAAGTTTTCCAGACTTGGTGTTACCAGATACTACAAGGAATATTTTTACTGTGTTAAAGGATATATCTGATCTCTGTGAGTTTGAGGCCAGCCTGGTGAGTTCCAGGGCAGCTAGGCTACACAGAGAATCCCTGTCTTTAAAAAAAAAAAAAAAAAAAAAAAAAAAAAAAAAAAAAAAGGAAGAAAGAAAGAAAGAAAAGAAAAAGGAAAGGTCAACTGTGGTGATATATTATTTATGATTCATTAAAGCTTGCTTGAAGATTCAGAAAGCAAAGTCAGCCACAAGGCATATAAGCCAAGCACACCCTTTAATCCCAGCAGCCAGAAGCTAGGAGGTGGTGGTACACAGCTTTTAATCCTAGGACTCAGGATTAAGAGGTAGATGGATCTCTATGAGTCCAAGGCCACCCAGATCTATACAATATTGAATCAATCTAAAAGAGAATTAGAGCTCACACCTTTAATCTCAGCACTAGAAGGGTATAAAAGACCAGAGCAAGGAGTATCAGGCATTCATTCTCCAGTCACACTGAAGATAAAAACATTCATTCTCCAGCCACGCTGAGGAGAGGCAGCAGGAGCAGTCCATTCAGCCTGAGGTTGTGGTGAGAGCTAGTGGCTTTTCTATTTCTTTTCTTTTGCTTTTCTATTCTTCAGCTTGAAGTTTGAACCCCAATATCAGTCACTGGGCTCTTTTATTTATTTGTGTTACAAATTTGACTGTTTACACCTGTAATCCCAACATTCTTAACACTAAGACAAGGGGATCACCTTGAGTTCTAGGTCAGCCTGAGCTTCAAAAATAAGATCCTCCCTCAAAAAGAAAAATAATAAAAAGGAAGGAAAGACTGATGGATGGGCAGGCTACCCACCCAAGTACGTATAACAGGGGCTGGGCAGGGAAAGGCACCTGCCACTAAATCTAATGACCTGAGATGGATAGCTATGACCTACGTGGTAGAAGGAAAGAACTAACTTCCTCAATTTGTCCTCTGACTTCAACACAGCCATTGAAGTACATACAACACACACACACACACACACACACAGACACACACACACACACACACAAATAAATAAATAAATATGCATAACAAGTGAAGTACTTGCCTAGAGCACAATGTACTGGGTTTGGTCCCAGCACCTTATAAATTTATAAGGTCCCAGTACCTTATAAATCAGGTAGCACAAGCCTGTAATCATGGCTTTCAGGAGGTAGAGAAAGGCAGAAAGATCAAGAGTTTAAGGAAATCCTCAGCCACATAGGGCATTCAAGGCCAGCTTATGTTACACAAGACCCTGTCTCAATCCAAACTCCCCCTCTCAAGTACAGACCAGACAGGTGGGCTGGACTCAACAGATGATGCCCCTCAATATGGACTACGGCAGATGCCCCCAAACATTGAGTCATGACAGATGGCCCTGCAACGTGAATTACTACATTTCAGGGAAAACAAAACCAAATTACACTTGTATTATAGCTGAAAGCAAAAATTATAACATTGTCTGATATGCAAATAGATATAGGAGAACTAATACCAAAAGGGTGGAAAAGAGCTGTGTAGTGGGTATTTGCTCTGCTGATGACCTTGGGCTATCTGGTCTGATGGAGGCGGTGCTTCTCACCTGCCTAGGTGACCTCTTATAAGGAAGGAGGGAGGGGGTAGACCAGGTCAGGCATCAGGAAGCAGCATGTGATGGGTCCCCAACTTTTCAAATACTCTGCAACTGGATTTACCATATTCTATATTCATGAGTGTATTTTCCCTTTTTCATATCTTAATAAATCCTTGATACCTCTTAAACAGACGCATATGGATTTCTCACTACAACTGGTGCACAATGTGAGACAGACCCCAGCCCAAGTGGTTTCCCAGCCTCTGTGACTATTGGTGCACTTCCCATGCCCCACATTTGGATTCCTGAGACAGGATTCCTGCCCCACAGCTTCCTCCCCTCTACCCCACCACATTCAGCACCGCCTGCTGCTTGGTCAAATGCCCACTCCTGGCTCCCTGCCTTGCTAATCCGCTAAGACTCACCCTAGAGGCTTGTGCACTTGGTACATTGACCCAGCTTCTTATGTAGACAAAAAGGGGACTGGGCTTATTCTACCTCGATGCCAGCCAGTGGACGATGAGAGGCTGGTAGCCACCCCCTGCATGAACCCTGTCGAATTCCAGCAATCAGGAGGCAGAGGCAGGTGGATCTCTAAGTTCAAGGCCAACCTTGTCTACAAAGTGAGTTTTGTAGAAAAAAAAAAAACATAAGAAAGAAAGAAAGAAAGAAAGAAAGGAAGGAAGGAAGGAAGGAAGGAAGGAAGGAAGGAAGAAAGAAAGAAAGAAAGGTGAGGAAGGGCTCTGTACAGTAGCCTTTTTGCTATTCCTTGCAATGGTACCACATTCGTTTAGGGAGGGCTAGGGCTAAAAGGCATTAAGCAAACAAAAACACATATTACTCAGTTGAAGAAGCCACACCCTGTAGGATCTTCCCTTCTGACATTAGGGAAAAGGTAAACTATGAAAACCAATAGTTTCAGGAGTGGGGAGATGAACAGTGGAGTACAGACTCTCTGGGGTATCAAAGTTATTCTCCACAATTCTAAAAGTGTCATCAGAGTTAGGGTTGGGTTCCACAAGAAACCTACTATAAACTGTGGGCTCTGAATGATATGTCAGTATATGCTTATCAGCTTCAGCAGAGAGTCTGTGGAGTTTCCCAGTGACAAAAGCTGGGGAAAGGAGAGGAACATATGGGAGTTGTTACTGTGACAAACTTGTTGTTGCTATGATACAGTCCATAGTAGTAAAGAAGTCAAGGCCACAGGAGCATGAGGCAGCTGATGACACTGCATGTGAACCAGGTGGAGGGAAAGGGTGGTGCTCTATCCCTTATTTAGTGCAAGACCCCCAACCCATGAAATAGTTACAATGGGTCGTCCCACCTCAGCCTAAGCTAGGTACTCCCTCCAGAGGTTTATTGCTTAAGTGGTTTTAGATCCTGCCAAGTTGATGATATTAAACACCAAAGGGAATTCTGTGCCTTTCTCTTAAATTTGCCATAAGCCTACACTTCAAATTAAGCTACTGAGGTTTTTTTTTTAAAGATTTATTTATTTATTATGCATACAGTGTTCTGCCTGCATGTATGTCTGCTCGACAGATGAAGGCACCAGATCTCATTATAGATGGTTGTGAGGCACCAGGTAGTTTCTGGGAATTGAACTCAGGACCTCTGGAAGAGCAGCCCATGCTCTTAACTGCTTAGCCATCTTTCCAGCCCCCAAATTTACAAATCTTGATTCTAATAAGAACTTGCAACCAGAATATAGAAAGAACAATAAGAAAACAAACTACCCAATTTCAAGAATGAGTAAAAGAATAGAATAAACATGTTTTCTTGAAGACATCAGGATGGGAAATAAACATAAAAATACTCCACATGAGCTAGGAATGAAACTCCACTGGTGGAGCCTGTGAAAAGTCCTGAGTTCCATCTCAGCACATCATAAAACTGGGTGTGGTGGGAAGTGGAGGCAAAAAGACAAGAAGAAATAGAAACTCAAGGTTATTGAAACCATAAAGGAAGTTCCAGGCCAGCCTAGGACACAGGAGAGTCTTTTGTTTGTTTGTTTGTT